CCTCCCTCTGTGGAGGCGCGAAATTCACTGGCCCCACCTTTTGGGCCAGTGGGTCTCCCCGAGAACGCAAATAAACTTCTCCTTTTCTTTCTGATTCACCCAGTTCTCTTTGCTCTCTTCGCCGCTTTTCTGGGCCACCTCACAGTAGCAACACCTGGCTTCCTCTCCCTAGCAATGACTAGCCTCAGGTGGAAACACCTTACACTGTAACCAAATGTCTTTGATGCATTTTCCCATGCCTCATCTCATTTGATCCTCAAAGAAGTCCTAGAGTAAGTAGATAGGAGACGCAGTGGAATCCTATTTTCTTTTCATTAGCCAGAAAATGAAGATTTAGAAAGTTTAGAAACTTGACCTGACTGAAAAGAAGAAATGGTGGATCTTGAAAATGACTTCAGGTTTTCACACTGTGCTGAATGTAGTCAAACACTGCTGCAGTTATATACTTCACCCTGTGTTCTCCCTGTGTGATTTACAATAATAATCTGCTTCATGTTGATATTTACTGCTGTGTTGCTGACAGTTACCTGAAGAGAAGTTGGGGTGCTTCACTGGGCTGGAAAAAGTTTAGCTACATCAGAAAGCAGGTCTAATTAAGCAAGTTTGTTCTATATCTATAAAAGGCTAAGTTGACTTGCACATGCACGATACATATAAAGCTCTCTCTGGCACCAATTGCACTGAGTTGGTGGAAATATGTTGCAGTAGGCAGATGGCCAACCTTGGAAAAGAAAATAAACAGTGTGCATGGTAATGTAAACTACATGCAAATGAAATGCATCACAGTCACTAAAGATGTCCTCTAAATTGTATCTGAGTAATCAGAGCTCAGTGGTTAGAGCCTCAGCCCACAAAGGGCTCACCCCTCAGGAAGGTGCAAGCAAGATGAGAGGGAATGCTCACCGTGTACAAGCACGAGGCACAATCCAGTCAGAGAACAGCTGACGGAGGATTCACCGTCCTGCAGCCTCGACTCTTCCCTCAGATACTCATGATACTCACATGCTGCACATTTCAACAGTTTTGATTGATGTATCTCTTTTGGCTTTATCTTCTTGAATCTGCCTAACAAATATATCATAGTATAAATTACATAGTGAATAATACAGTGCAAAAGCAGAGGGAATTGTATCTAACCTCATAAATGAACTGGTTGTGTGAGGTTTCCAGGTAGGAGGGAGGGAGTAGGGAGTGACCACTCCCAGCAATAACAGCAGTCCCAAAGTCCTCTGACTTGTCAGCACTGCAGATATTGCTCATCTCAGAACAGATTCTCCCCTCTCCCCAAAAGAAAACCCTCAAGAAGTCTCTTTGTGGTCACACCTTCCACCCACACTTATCTGTTGGCAACCACTCCCTGCTCTCAATCTTTATAGTTTCGCCCAGATGTTACATCAATGGAATTCTTCTGAGACTCGCTTCTTTCCAGCATAATGGCTTTGTGATCTGTCCAACTTGTTGGGTGTAGCAATAGTTCCTTGCTTAAATTGCTCAGTAGTGTCCATTTTAAGGATATTTCTACAACCTGTCTATCAATTCACCTGTTGATGGACATTAGGGTTGTTTCCAGTTTGGGGCTTTTACAAATAAAACTGCTATACACACTCACAGAATTTTTGTGGGACACAAGGTTTTGTTTCTCTGGGGTAAGTGCCCAAGAGTGTGCCTGCACACCAGAAAAGCTAATGGATATTCTGTTAAGACCCGCCCCAGAGACCGCTCTCAGACTCCAGCCAGCTAAAGGAAGAGAAAAAGCTACAAGACAGCCCTGGCCAGTGTTTCTCAATGGTTAAAGTCTTGGCCTGCATACCAAAAGGTTGAGGGTTTGATTCCCAATCAAGGACACATACCTGGATTACAAGTTTGATGCCCAGTCCCAGTCAGGGTGAGTGCAGGAGGCAACCAATTCATGTGTCTTTCTCACATCGATGTTTCTCCCTCTTTCTGTCTCTATCTGCCCCCAGCCCCTCTCTAAAAATCAATGGAAAAATATCTTCAGGCGAGGATTTAAAATTTTTAAAAGCTTCAAGACAAAGGATCCAGACCTCGCTCTCCCTCCTGGGAGCACACTGGCACCTTTCCCTTCCTGGATTTCTTCCCCCACAGGCACGCATCTTTTAAACTCCAAAGGGCCCACGAGACTTACAGCCAGGGGAGCGGTGGGCAGAGGCAGCTCGACCTGGGCTAAGCCTCTGAACATGTCTCCAAGGCCCCCTTTTCTCTGACTTGTTGTTTTTCCTACCTTAAGCCCTGCCTTTGCTTCACTGTCTCCAGCTTTAATAAACATACTCTCAAAGCCACCTGGACTCCTGTTGTGAAATCTCTCCTACACGAAGTCAAGAACCCAAATATTAGCAGTGGACCCTAGGTAGACCTGTCCCTGACCCAGACCCTGTCCCGTAACAAACTGACATCTCAACTATATTTATACTGCATCTTCCAAATCACAATGTAAACGTCTCCCCATTTATTTAGTCCATCTTTGATGTCTTTCATTCATTACTTATAGTTTCCTCATATACGTCTTGTACATGTTTTATTAGACTCATCCCTAAGTATTTCAGTGGAGGGATAAATGGTACTGTTTTATAAATTTTAATTTCCCATTGTTAATGCTAGTGAATAGAAACATAATTTTGTGTGTGTTGACTTTGTATCCTATAACCTTCCCAATTTCAATTATTACTTCCAGGATTTTTTTGGTAGGTTTAAGGAGATGGCTTCAGTTCCCTGGTCCTTTCGTGTGTCTGAGTTTGCCACAATAAGCCAGGATTGGGTGCGGCTAACCTTAACCTTGGTGGGACAGTCTAACCCTCCTATGACAGGAGAGCCTGGGAGGCTTACGGAGAGCAGCCACAACACTGTTCTCACTGCTTCTCTGTCCTTCAGGGAAGCTGTCCTAAGAGCATTTCTCCTTGTCATCTCCCAGTGATGCCGGGTCTGAGGCTTCTACCTCTCACCCATGGGGTTGAGCTGCAGGCTATACAACTGCTTAGATACAGATGGCTTTCTCTCCTCAGCATTAGGGTCCTGTCATCCTTGCTGCAGTCACCTGACCCCTTTGAGCGCCACTCTGTGCAAGGGGCAGGGGCAGCTGGCACCTGGGGCTCATCTTACTTTCGTTGTCTATGTACGTATTAAACTGTCTGACTCTAAAAGGGCTTGATGGGCCTGGCCCGTGTGGCTCAGTTGGGTGAGTGTCATCCGTGCACCAGGAGGTTGCTAGTACGATTCCTGGTCAGGGCATTTATAGGGTTGCGGGCTCCATCCCCATTAGGGGCCTGTCAATTGATGTTGCACTTTAACATTGATGTTTCTCTCTCTCCCTCCCCCTTCCCCTTTCTCTAAAAAAAAAAATCAATAAACTATTCTTTAAAAAAATAAAAAATAATCAAAAAAATTCTAAGGGCTTCTTGTCTTGTGACTGACTGGCTAAATCTATCAGCTTTGACTCTGGCTCGACAATAGCTTCCATGGGATTTCTATGTTAGATAAATTAATTATACAGATATGAAGTCCTCTAGTAATACCTTTTGATTTTGCCTCAAAGTCAGTTGTGCTGTTTATCAAGAGCTTTCTATTTTAGTCAGGAGTTCCTTGCCTGTAGGTTGAGAATTATGAATAAAGCACCAAGCTCATTCATTTAGGAAATAGGTCTGTGCCCCCAGCAGCTGTGCTGTGTAAATCGGAGGTGAGTCTCCACAGCTGGGACTCCTGTCAGGTGCATGGGCAGTCGGACACATAAAGGCAGAAGTTCTCAACCTGTGGGTCGCGACCCCCTTGGCGGTCGAACGACCCTTTCACAGGGGTCACCTAAGACCATCCTGCATATCAAATATTTACATTATGA